TGGCTCAGATATCTTCCTGTCTGGCGGAATTTTGGGGTGAGCATAAGCATGCCAAGGATGTGGCGTTCATAGATTTAGCCATCCCTTTGGCATCGCATCCATCAGTGTGGTCGACCGAGGTTTCCGAACCGTTTGTTGATGATCGCTAAAGCAACCGTGCCTCGTTTCCGACTCTCCGCGGTCCGCTCCTCAGGGTCGCGTATGATCCTCAAATTAACTTCTTGTGCCGAGCCGTGTGTAAAGTGATTTCGAACCTATGGAGAAGCATGAGTTCATTGACCCCTGCAAGCCACCTTTTAGCGAACAAATCGACAGCATTGCCGCTTCGTTGCTGACGGGTGTATAGCCTTCGCGGCACAGGCCGAACGCCACATTGAGTCCAGTCCTAGACACAATTCTAGCATCCTTCGAGCATCCAGCTTCATCTCATATGTCGAGTCATTGATAAGCAGGAATTGCGCATCCTTGTTGATGTTATTCCCTCAAACTGTTGAGAGATATGAGCGAGTAGAAAAGCGTGCCATAGCCTGCGTCAAGGTTTCGGTCATCGAGTGTTCCTTGTGTTATCTCTTCACCTATTGGACTGGTTATCATCATGACTCGCTTGTCCCTTACCTTACTTGCGGCAGCGGCTGTCGTCCCATTCGCACATGCTGACTATTGCGTGAGGCTGCTCCCTAGTTCCTTTCTATCCGAAACGTCTGCTAACATCTACAGTGCTCCGCTCTTGCACTCACCTCCCTAAAGAGTCGGCTGCTCTACCCCGGTCAAGACGCGTATGAGACGCGGGAAGATTCCTACTTCGATGTCAAGCAACAGGTTATCACACCCAACTGCATCGTCCAGCCCAAGACCGCCAAAGAAGTCGCCCTTGCTGTCAAGACCCTCACAGCTGCTAGTCGACTGAAGTCATGCAAGTTTGCGATTCGTAGTGGTGGACACACTCCATACATTGGAGCCTCCAATATCGAGAACGGCGTAACACTCGACTTGCACTATCTCAGCACCGTTGAGTATGATGCTAAGAAGGCCTTGGTCAAAGTCGGTCCTGCGGCAACGTGGAACGACGTGTACGATACCCTGGAGCCACTGAACGCGATGACAAGTGGTGGGCGCTCGTCCACAGTTGGCGTCGGTGGCCTTACGCTCGGCGGTGGAATCTCGTACTTCTCGCCGGGGCGGGGTCTGGTCTGCGACAACGTCATCGAGTTCGAGGTTGTTCTCGCTGACGGTCGTATCGTGACCGCATCCAAGACTTCGCATCCAGATCTCTTTGCTGTCCTCAAAGGCGGCAACAACAACTTCGGGATCGTCACTAGCTTCAAATTCGGCACCTTCGACTACGCCGGCATGTGGGGTGGTCTCGTTATCTACCCAGAGTCGACCATCCAAGAACATTTCAAGGCTCTGATCAACTTTTCCAACAACATTGACAAGGAACCGAAGGGCTCAGCTATCGTCATGCCGGTGTATCAGAGCTCGGCGGGCGCCGATTTGATCCTGAACGCGTACGACTATGCTGAGCCAGTATCGAGACCCGCAGCCTATGACGAGTTTTTGGCGATTCCTGGCAACATCTCGGACTCCACGGGTATCAGGAACATGTCATCGCTGGCAGCGGAACTCGCGGGCGCTACTACACACAGGTAAGCTAGCCGCCATTCCCATTGACAGATGCTGATCGAAACCTAGCGTATACTTTGGCACACTGACTTTCGCGAATGATCTCCGCGTCATGACCAAAGCCCATGAGATCTACATGGATGTGCTGTCCAACCTGAAGGCCAAGGCTACGGGTGACTGGCAGATCTATGTGCTCTACCAGCCCCTTCCGCCTTCGTACTGGAGGCAGAGCGCGTCCAAGGGCGGCAACATGCTGGGCTTGGAGCGCTTTGGTGAACAGGTGCTGTGTTGTAAGTTCACCACGAAGTTCTGTGAAGACTGGTCGCTAATCAGTATCAACAGTATACCAACCCTACATCTCTTGGCAAGGCGCTGAGCAAGACGCGCTTTTCCAAGCCGCAGGCGCCGATCTCGTCAACGGTATCCGCGAGTATGCTGAGAGCATCGGTGCCGACAACCCATATCTCTACCTGAACTACGCGGACAACACGCAAGATCCCCTCGCAAGCTATGGATCCGCTTCTGTAAAGAAGATGAAGGCTGCGGCGAAGAAGTATGACCCTGCGGGTGTCTTTCAGAAGCTTGTGCCGGGTGGCTTCAAGATCTCGAATGTTCAGTAGATGATGAATGTCTTTCCATAGGACGAATCGATAGCAATAAATGTGTCAGTGTAATAACAACATGACTATATCGTTTCAGGAAGTGCGACTTCCGTTGTGAGCGCGCGCATACCACTTTCGGATGATGTTCCCGGATGTCAACGCCGCTGTTGGGCTGAAGTCTAAGCAAAAGACTATTGCGCAATCTGATCGCTAGATGCAAAGAATATGAGAACGGTGGAGATGAAGATGTTGGAGAAGACGCGTTGTTGACGCGTGGCGTCATCATGAAGGCTGCGAGTGGAGGAAGGCAGGGTGGCAGGCAGGCGTGAAAGCCAAAGCCGGATTTCGCTTGGCGGGCCCACTTGGGTCGCGCTAGCCATATCTGACGATGCGCACCAAGCCAATACGCGCTCCACGGTGAATACGCGTCCACTGATGCGCTTCAAGTATTATATGCAGTACAAGTGCACATACCCAACATGAGCTTGAGTTCAGAACGATAGGAACGTCGTTGATACTTCTAGAGGCTAGCACCATCCCCGGGGCGCGTCAAGGCGCATACTACAGTATCTACAACCATCATCAGAACATTCCACACCCAATCGCCACCGTATGGGGATTGTCAGCTCTCGGCTATAAGGGCGAACTCTTCTGTAGAGACTACAAAAACAATGTAGTCGCAACCTCACTCATACAAAATACACCACCTGCCCAAAAGACCAAACCGCAGTCTGAGTCAAAAGCGCACTATATTCATTCTGAACCAGAACCCCCATCAAATCAATAAAACGCCCTCTCAGCCGCCCTAACCATCCCCTCATCCCCCGCCACCCTCCCCTCATACGTCCACCCCCTCTCCCCCACCATCCTCCTCTCACACCCCTCCCACAACATCTCATGTTCCTCATCCCTCTTATTCCACCCCGGTTTCCTAAACACCGGTTTCTCCCATGGGTCATCTGCGGCCCGTACAATCCAGCCTTTGGCTTCTTTCCAAACCATTAGTTCGCGCCATTCGCCGATGTGGTAGTAGTCTGAGAGAGGGGGAAGGTGCGGGAAGAGGCGGTGGAAGGCTGCGCGGGGGCCTTCTTTGGGGGGTGGTGTGGGGGGTGTGAGGGGTGGGGAGGGGGCGGTGGATGAGGAGGAGGTGGAGGCCGCGGCGCGTTTTTCCAGCGTGCGGGCGGCGGTTTCTAGGGCGAGGGCGGAGGAGGATAGTGGTGCGTTTTCGCTTCCACGTAAACGTGGAGCCGCAGTAGCAGCGGTGCGGGAAGCGGGTCTAGATGTCGAACCCGAAGCCGCATGTCCACGTGACCGCGAAGCTCCGCTCGTCTTTTTCCGTGAAAACTCTTCGTTTTGAGAGGCTTTCAATGTCTTTGTCCGCTTTCGGCGGCCTCTTTCTTCTACTTGCGCTTCTGCTTCCTGCTCTTGCACCTGGGCTTCTCTTGCCTCTATCTCTTCTTCCTGATATAGGAAAAGAGAAACGCGTTTGCGCTTCGGATTGTCCACCTTAGGATCTTGAACTTCTTGAACTTTTTGCACCACTTGTGCATTAGCCTTACCTCTAGGCACAACCTGATTCCAAATCCTCATTGGGATATGTAATTTAGGTGATTTCTTCTCCTTTGCAGCGACCTCTACTTGCACTTGCACTTCCACTTCTACTTCTGGTGGTGGTGGTGAAGAACTAACCTCTTCCTGCACCTCCTCTTCCACTTCCATCTCCACATCTTCACCCTCCTCATATGCACTCTCCGTCTCGTCCCCTTCATCCACCCCTTGATTAACCACTCCGTCCATCTCGCGATAAGACCACAGATTCCTCAACAGGTTGTCGTTCATGGCCTGGACTGCAGGGGTGGTGGCTAGGGATTGGAAAGACATGGTTTGTAGGAGTCTCGCGTATGTTTTGAAAATCGGCTATTGGACCGCGAGTGTGGTGTATGAGCCTGGGTGTGGTGTGCAAGCGCGTTTGCGGTAGTGTTGGGCGGATGTAGTAGGTAACTGTATGTATTGCCTGATCGTATGTAGTACTTGAGCCGATGTGTAGTCAGTTGAGTGTGTGATGACGGCGTGAATGTACGCGGGTTGACCGTATATAGTCCACTGAGTGTGTGATGACAGTGCGAATGTGATTTGACTGGTCGTATGTATCAGTCGAGCAGGTGCGTGATATATGAGCGTTGGTGGGGTCGAGCGAGCGTGTGTAGTTGGCTTAGTGCTTCAGTCAGTGTGCGATCGTAATTCTCTGGAGATAGAAAGACAACAGGATACATCCAGGCTTATAAGCAGAAACAGTGGGAGAATTTCCAGCGGCCTTGACTGAATGCAATGACTGTATCCAGAGTTCGCACTCCCCAGTAGAAAAGCGCGCAATGTGTTCGGACAAGTACTCCGAAAGCCCACCGTAGGAATATTCTACGTCAAACGTGGGAACAAATCGCTAGCCCAAGGTCCTCACCGCACGAGCCACTATGTTGTTGTGAATTGATAGATGTTTTGGATATCGAGGCATTGCCACTGGCTGCAGAAGTGGAAGTGGGTCGCGGCTCTAATACCCGTGAGTGCATGCCTTGGGTGAGCAAATACACGGCCAATGGAAATTCGAGCATTGCACAACCAGCCTCAAGGGCGATGACAACACAACGAGAAACTGACCAAGTATGACGAGTAAATGCTACCGACTGACCTATGCTGACACTAACGATACACTCGTCGCACTGGCAGACTCAATGAGCAAATATTAGACATTACGACGTGACACGAATTTATCCCACCTCACTGAGCCGTCGCACTCTCCCGCGCCTTTCCACTGTCCATCCTGCTGAAGGACAAGATTCTCTCATGCTCCGTAGCCTCCTGCTGTTTGAACTTGGAGATCAGATCCATGGTGCTTCGCCTAACGCTGACTAAGCTCCGTTCCTCGAAAGCACTGTCATCCTGACCCAGCGAGCCGAAGCTCCTGGCCCGACTTCCGTTGCTCATCTGACTCATCTGGCTAGCGTTGCGCGTGTGCTTCCGCAGATGAGTAGGTAAAGTGCGTGAGTGCACGGACATCTGCCTGCTATCGAATGAGTGCCGATTTGGACGACCAAAGTCCTGGAGGACTCGGTTCGTGTCCATACTCAGACGCGGGTATGCATCGACGCAGTTCTCGTAGTAGGTAGACCAGACTCGTGCTCGATCGTTTGCGTGCTGCGCATCAGCTGCGCCATCGCCGAATGACATCTCGTTGAGATTGGGCGCAGACGAGTTGCGCCGTGGACGGAGTGTTGCCATGGAATCCTCCGCGCGTAGATTGCTCCTGGATTTAGCCTTCTTCTTCAAGGTTTCTTGCCTCAGCACAGACTGCTCATCACCTGGGATGTACGTGTCAACGTCTCTGTGAGCCTCACCCGCCCAAACATCAGGCAAGAGCTCGAGCTCAGGGTGCTCAAGAATGCCGCCAGATGCGATGGAACTGCGGTGTCCTCTACCATGCCTGCGGAACTCTGTGCTCTGACTCCTAAACATTTTGGTGTAGTTTTTCATGAGAGTCTTGCCGAAAGTCATCGAGTTGCTCTTCGCTACACGACCACTGCCAACCTTCTTCTTTTTCTTCTTCTCGCCAGGCAGCAGTGGGGTGGACGGTCTTCTCGCTGTGGGATCGATCAGGTCCTCGTCATCCGTTGCTGAAGCAAACTTGATCGCTGCCTCAAGCGCGAAGTCACGAGGCTGCACGTTATCAGCCTTCCCTGCAGAGGCGGTACGGTCATGGCGCGTGTGCGAAGGATAACGACCCCAGGCCCCGACGACATCCGTGCTGTCGCCCTGCCGCTCAAATGCATTTGCCACTTCTTGTCCAACGCTAACGTCATCACGCCCTATCATAGCACTGCGACGAGACACCATCTTGAACAGCCCCTCGGAGCGCTCTTCACCGGGTGTTCCGGCGTGGGGACTTAATGTCGATACCCGCGTGCTGGAACCATCGTCAGCTCGGCTAGCTGGATCCAGGCCTTCGACACTGATGCGTCGCACGGAAACGCTGCCGCTGCGCTCGCGGAAAGGGCTCGCATGAACAGCGAGGTCCCTGTTCTTGGGAAGATAGAGAGATGCTTTCTCGTCTTGATGCGCTTGCAAAGCGCGATCCCATACATGATTGGCGCCTTTGTTCTTTCCGAGTGCATCTTGTTCAGCCTGCATGCTAATCAATGACCGTGACTGACGACGTCCATGATTGACAGGGAGCTCCAGCGTGTCAGATGGACCATCCACAGCGGCAAGTACGACGGCCGAGGAGGAAGAAGCTTCAGACTGGAGATTTGCTTCACTCTGGCTGCGCAGACTCAGGCGCTTCGGGTTCAAGAATTTGATGATAGATGCCGACTGTGTCATCTTCTTTTTGGGTGGAGATGGGCTGAACTCTTCTCGAAATTTGGAGGTCTTGGTATCAGCAACACTGTTCTTGCGTGCTAGCGGTGCGGGCGGTGCAAGAAGCGAAGGCTCGACCTGATGGCCAGTGACTGTTGCGAGGTTGGTAAGACCATGTCTTTTAGCTGGTCTTGGTGTGTCTTCGTTGTCTGTAGGAAAGGAAGCAGAACGTCGAGGCTGTCGTATGTCGGCAGACGAAATGTTGACCGGGCGATTCTCAGTATCAGTGCGCGGTAGAGTCGTCACCGATCCTCCAAAACTGTCGGGTGGGCTTTGGGGACGACTTGAGTAGATGGAAGAAGCAACATCAGGTCGGGTGTCAAGATCGTTCGGCAATACCTTACCCCATCTACTCGGAACTTTTGAGCTGGCAAAGCCTGAGCTCGATGTTTGCCGGTCATGGCGGGCTAGTTGCTTACTCTGTGGGGAAGTTCGGCTCTGGTCTGAGAGAGTGCGTTCACGAAATGCGCGAGGCGGAGTTGGAAGCTCTGGTGCATCGGCAAGTTGGTCCCATGAGAGAAGAGACCCGGAGCGTAGATGATGTGAGATGCGCATGCTGTAAAGATGGACAGACCGACGAGGGTTGTCATCATCGTCATTATCCTCGCTGTTATGTGCCTGTCCTCGTACTTTACGCGGCGAGTCTCCACGGAGAGTGCCTCTGATAGATGTAGACGGCCTTGGGGTTGCAGTGGATGTTGGCTGTTGAACGCGGATCTCAATGAGGCGACCACAAGGAGAAGCAGTCGTTCCAAGAGCTCGGTGCGACGATACCGAAGTGGAGCTACTTCGTTTCTGGTGTCGCTTATGGCCGTCTTTGTTGAAGGTTGTAACGGATGCTTCTGGGCTGACGTGGCGTGGAGGCACAGGAAACTGGGAAAGACGAAGGCTCTTGTGCATCACCTCAGCCCACGGTATTCCAGCTGAGTCGTGATCGGTAAGGCTTGGTAGTCGTAACGGCGAGAGGGGAGAAGGTTTCGGCAAGCCCATGGATGTAGCCGAATGCGATCGTCTGACCCTGTTGTCCTTTCCACCAGGCGTATCCGATCGCAGATTGGGCGTGCTGAACACTTGGCTGAACCGGTGGGAGAAAGGACCGGCGTGTGGTTTATCGATGCTGTAGGGAGGGAGGTCATCATTGAGCTCGCCGCTAATACGGTCTCTCTTCGACGAGTCTGGTGTTGTTTTGCTGGCCATTATTAGTACGACGTGACAACGAGCTCGCAACATCTAACCTTCCGGTAGTGGTAGTCCAATCGATGCTGTGGATACTTGCACGCTTGATAGGTGACTTCTTGCCAATGTTGTTTGCAATTTCGTCAAGTGCCTCAGCATCTGAATCATAACCGCCCTCATCAGGCTTCTTGTCGCTGAGGAGATCCTTGCGCAGGTCATGTTTGGTAATCTGAAGCTGCTGATTCGTTCCGTCTTTCAGCTGCTTAACGACAGTGCCGGCAGCTGGAGTGATGTTCCTTGGTCTCGGCTGCAAATGTGGTGATGAAACAGTCGGAGCTTTCTTGGGAAGCTCCTTCGAAAACTTGCGTCTGATCAGTGAACGCATACTCGTCATCTTGTGTAGACTGCGGATGCTATGCATCGAAGGACGGCTGAAGCGTGCACGAAGCGTTCGCATTGGCATGGCTCGATCTTCGTTGGAGTCGCGAGCATTGTGGAAGATCTCATGCAGCTCATGAAGGTCTTCCGAACGGGCACTCGTGAAGGGTGAATTAGGAGAGCTAGCATCTTTGGGTAGAAGCGGCCTGTTCACCGGTGTAGGCTGACTGACGCGGGCGTTGGGTAGCTCGGGCGAATCTGAACGATCGTCCTGCTCGGCCGTACAGCACAGCTTGGTCGCCATGATGTGGTGAGGGAAAGATGAGTGGGTGGCTGCACATGGAAAGTTGCTGGTTTGTTGATGGCTGCGTCAGTGCACGTGGAGTGCTTGCCCAAGGCCGGAAGCTGGGAAAGAGGGATGGAAACAGGACAGCTTTCCGATGCCAACATGAGCTTGTGGAGGTGCTAATGGTTGCAGAAGACATGTTAGCGTATGGGGAAGTAGTTTCGATGACGAAGACTAAACATAATGGCGTGAGATGCTGGACAGATGAGGCAGTCGCGGCTGCATCTATGTTGTGGCCTCATACGGTGTGGAAGGATCGTGTCATATGCTGTTCATGGCGACTTCCCAATGCAGTGGCTATCCAAACATACAACACAAGTCTGACGCAGCCGAAGTGGCGTTTGGTTGCGATAGGCATGCCCTCTGGTGTTGCGTCTGAGAGACTCGAATATGCATCACTGTTGCACATGCCATGCACGTGGTTGTATCTCAGCCCATCATCTTTTTGCCGCTAGCATCCTCGCTGTATAGGCCCTGGTCTTTGATCCAAGCGGCGACGCCTTCAGTACACAACTTGCCCACTGTGTCCCAATCACCCGCGTTGGCTGCGTTTCTCACTCTGGTAGAGCTTATACCCACGCCTTCCTCGGCTTGCACCATATCGATGTTATTGCCCCAGGCTGGCTCGAAGCCAGCCTTCTCCTGATTGCCATCTTTCAGGTTCTGCAGATATTTCTCCTGCTCCTCCGTTGTACCAAATTCATTGGACGACTCGTCGCTCGGGTCCGTCGGTCGCTGGGTAACGCGCAGCTTGTGGCCAGCATCGAAGAAGGGCTTGAGGGCCGAAAGCGGTGGGTCGTACTTGGGGTAGTATTTGGGGTTGCAAAAGCGGATCAAGGTGTCGTAGCCGACGAGGTGGATGTGGATGGGCCGCGACGCGTAGAACGGTGGTGTGGTCTCGGCTATGGCAACCGACTTGTCACTGTAGTATGGTTCCTTGGTTAGGCCAATGTCTATCGACACGTTGGAGACGTCATCATTCATCGAAGGTGACGCGCTCTTCAAGCTTCGCGACAAATCCTCGGCAAACACGGTCATGAGGGCGATGCGCTGCACGAAGCTTGCCGGACTCGGTGCCTTGTCTGCATTGTGGGTGCTGAACAGCAGTAACAGCCGGTACGGGCTCTTCTCTAGGGGCGTCGACTGCTTCAGGGCCGATGTCGCGAGGGTAAGGTGGGCAATTGACGGCGGGTTGAAGGAAGAGTCGAGGATGTAGAGTGTCTTGGGCTGTGTTGGCGTGTCGTTGACCGTGCGCACGACACGGAACTTGGCGGGAGACGAGGTAAATGAATGCAGCGCTGATTCGAGATCAGGTAGCAAACCTCTTACTGACGCGATTCGCGATGCCATGTCAGCCATTGTCGTTGCGAAGCTTTACCGATGCGCTGAGCTCATAGTGCGCGGGGAGCTCTTCTCGCGTCCGGCACGTCATGGCTCTCACCCCTGCCCTCTCACAACACCAACACCACAACCTCCTGCATCTCCAATAACGCCACATTCGCGCTATCTTTCCAGCACTTCATATCCAGTCCCCACGATTATCTTCGATAAAGGCTCTGCCAGACGTGCAAAATGTCACGTTACAGTGTTGCTTCGATAACACCCTCACAAGAGTGGCAATCCCCTCGGAAAGCGTCCGAGTGGATCTCGCGCCACCGTCCCATTGGCTCTTCACGATGGTCTGAGCTGGCGGGGAACCTGGAAGCCCTGCGCATCCGTGACAATGGCGAAAATGCGACTTCCAGGTGTTTGCATCTGCATCTGCATCTGCATCAACCCCAGGCAAACAGTCTCCATCGCGCTGACTTTGTCGTGGTGGAACGCGGCGCATGAGCTCTGCGACTCATCCACCGATATCTCTTCAGTAGTTTCTGCATAGCTTGTCAAACCGGCAGGTCCTCATCTCTCTAGCCCAATACATTGTTCCATCAGCCTAGATCAGGTATCAACCCATAATCGATTGGTGGCCGTTTCCATCTGTCACACCATGGCTTCATTCTTTTCGTCGAATTACAGGCAATACAAGAAGGACACAGGTTGGTCGACCGCCTAATTGGACCTTCCTCAATTAACATATCCAGAATACATCGCGGGATGGCTAGCAGCAACCGCCGAAAAAGTGGGCTACCAGCGCAGTAGCTGTCTAGCTCCTCCACAGTCAACTCCGCAGCCAGCTAAACGACTCAAGGGCAAGGCGAGGAAAGAAGCCCAAAAAGCTGCTGCTGCCTCCGCGAATACCCCTGCGGATACCTATCGCATCAATGTTGGAGAGTTTGTGCCCATGGCAGAAGCCATTGCGAAGAAAGTCCCCAAGGTCGAGGTCCCTGGAGCGCTCAGCAAACTGTTCGATCGTGCCATCCAGGCTCGAGAAAAAGCGGCAACTTGGTTCAAACAATCGCATAGCGACACGGTCCTAGACGAGAGCAATCAGACCCATGCTCACTTCGTCGAAATTCTTAGAAATGCTGCTGACATCCTTCAGCCGCTGGTTAAGGAGTCTATGCCTCGTGCTCAAAGGAAGGAGCCAAGTCAAAAGTCCGACGTTGACTCCCTGCGAGAGATGAAGAATACTTTCTCCAGTCTCTCGGTTGACCCTGAAAACGCTGCTGAAGAGGCTGAGCCTGAGGATGAGCTTGGGGAGGAGCCTGCCCCCAGACCAGATGACTCGATGGAATCGCTACCTCCTGTGAACCCTGTTGAAATCCAGCAAGACGAGTCGGAAATCGAATCCGAGTTCTTCTTCGCTATCCAGTCGTTCATTACCAACATACATGAGCTCCGCGACATTGTTCAAGAAGTCTGGTTTTCATACAAGGACGGCAATGTCGACTTGGTGAACGCTTCTGTCATCGCGAACACAGCTATCGACTTGGTGCGGCACGCTGAGTCTGAATTTGATTTAACGCTTGTACGCCCAAAGAAGTACCCTCAGAAAAATTATCCCGTATGGGGTAAGTCATCGACTGAACGTCTCGCCATTTAGCTCACAGCCATTAATACTTCGCAGTACTACCAGCTCTTTTGTTGATCAGTCAGCATCCGGACATCATCGACCCATCCGATTTTATGGACTTCCTGTTTCCCAGTGGCCTTATGATGCCTGGCTCTCATGCGTGCTCACAAGTTTACTGGTGTATGTGGCCAGTTTACGCCGGCCTAAAATACTACCTGGAGGCGATTAGGATTTCGAAGAAGCCTAAAACAGATATTCCCATCGTTGCGAAATCTGCTTTTAATCCAGTCGGTGGCGTCCACAAAGACACCTACCGCACGCTTGAACTGGCCCGGATGTTCCGACACACTACTTCGCGCCATGGCGAGACAATAGCCATGGACGAAGTATCTCGCGGTATGGCGCATATGTTCAAACATCGCCAGATCCCTATTTGGACTACTGTAAGTACTGATGAAGAAACAAGGCGCATACCATACTGATATACGGGTAGTTCGGAATACAAATACTGCTCGACATACAAGATATTCTAACTAAAGACCATCTGCACGATCCGTTCGATGAGCTAAATGTACGCGTAGATCGGGAGGTGGCCATGAAAGAGGCGCTGGAGCGTAGCTGGATACAACCCTTCCCGACTGAAGGACATGCAGCGGATATTCGAAAAGACATGGCCACAGACCTTACCTATACCAAAGCAGTCGCAGATGACCCATGCGAAACCCTGAAGCCCAATCCGATCCGATGTGGACTCTTGATGTACGACGCTTATTTGCAACTCAACACATCAGGTTATCAGCTAGAACGCGCGTTGGGTCAGATTTGCATGATGACACACTTATACGTTGCTACCAAGCTATTGCATCCTGAAAGCCCTGTATGGCCGGATATGGAGTATCTCATCCACCAGCAAGACGAAGCGAGGCTTTTCTTCGGTGGTGCCCCCCAGACCCTCGGCGAGTCCCTTCGCAAGGTCTATCTAATGGTAGGGCGAACTGCCTCTGATGCAGCCCGTGAGCCACGAGGCAAGAAGACCTCCAAAACGCTGAAGGAAATGCGGAAGCTAAGGGACGGCCGTTGGTTACAAGAACCCAGTATCCTGGCTCCGATCTTCCTGGAGCGAAGTTTTGGATGGGCCACTACCGACGCAGCTGTTGACGGTACGTACACACTTAACGTGAGCAGCTTATCAGCAAGACACTAACGTTCGATATCCAAACAAAGATAAAGTCAGACAACTCAACAACACCCTTCGATCGGAAACAGAGCTGGTCCGCCTAGCCAAAAAGTTCAACAGAGAGCGCGACATGGTATGGTGGACACTAGCAAGCCAACGCTGGCGCCCATACATTGAAGAGCACTCCGCAAATGACAACGGCCCTACCGCCCTCCTCCGCGACCTTATTTACTGGCTTGAAGGCGATGCCATGGACCTCTACTTCAGCTGGCAAGCTCTGCAAGACCAATGCGCAAAAGTTTGGCACCACCTCGAACGCTCCCTCTTTACAGACCCCTCCTGGGACAACAAATGGAGCCAAGATCCGCGGATGGGTATCTATATCCTGGAAGGCGCCGCCGCCGACGAGGAGCACTGGGGCTGCATAGCAAAAGACGACAAAGCCTTTGCATCTCCTTTGCGAAAAGCACACGACGCGATCCAAAAGGTCATCTTCGAAGTCCAACAAGAACCCCAAACCGCCCTCGGTATCTTCGACAGAGACCCAAGAACAAGTGCTGACATCACAACTCGCGGCGGCGACGTCTGCCTCGCACGCCTTGCAAAAGAAAACAAAGACTTCACCCTCTCCATCGGAAGCGGAACCCACTACGATCCCCTCGACCTCTACAAGAACTGGCCCCCGGAAAAGTTCCTATTCTCACACGTCGCCCAATGCATTCTCAACTTCGGCCGTGATATCAAGGAAGCAGAAGAAAAGAAGGAGGCGGAAGGCAAGCGTGTTTACGATCCTGAAGATGGTAAGTATTATCGGATTCAGGATCACACTTTGGTATCGGATGACGAGGACGATGATCCTTGTGCTGATTGTCCAAGGTGTAAGAGGAGGAAGTTTTTGGGGCATCGGTATCCGACTTATGCGGGGCATCATGGGGAGGTGGATCGGGAGTTGTGGGATGAGGATAGTGAGCGGTCCACGGATAGTGAGGAGGAGGGGGCGTAGGAGGTGGTATTGGTGCTGGGACGAGGGGTTGAAGGAGCCGTCGAATCTACAGGATTTCCTGGATACATCACTGTGTATAATAAGGTCGGGATTGTCATTTAATCTGATCCTTATGTGGGCACACCTTCGTCTCTAATATTTCTAATATTTTAACGTAATTTTATTGCTAAGACGCTAGTCTCTAAGTAGGTTTTCTCTTATAATTTTACCTTAGTATTTTATTATTTCTACTAACTTATACTTACTACTTTAAGCTACTACTATTTTAGTTTATTAAATTACTTACTATACTTAGTAATAATAGCATTTATAACTATAAGTATTACGTTATTAGTAGTAAGTAGCTAGTTTCTATCTATAAGAGTTATATTTACTAGTATCTATAATAGTAAGTTATTTAAGGCGTTAATCTCTAGCTATATAATATTAATATTATTATACTAGCTAATTACTATATTTTATTAGTAGTAATTACTTTAATACTTCTAGCTATTTATAGATTTTACTTAGGCTAATTTTATAGTATAAGAGCTTAACTATTAAATAATAGAGTTAGTTAAATACTAGATATATAATATTAGACTATAATTAGATATATTATTTTAAAAAGACTAAAAATAAATTACTACTAAGCTATAATAGTAATTCTAAAGTATTTATAGCTAATACTAAGTTAGCCTAGACTTTTTAGAGCTAGAATCTAATATTATTCTCTTTTTTAGAGTAGATTACTTTTAATCTACTTCTAAGATTATTTAATAGACTAAATAAGGTAACTATAGTATAGGTATATTATATCTATAGAAAAGTAGAAATCTATTATAAAAAGTAGTAGTTCTAGAAAATTACATATAGACGCGCGTATAAAGCTACTATCTATACTAGTAAAGCTAGTGTAAGCTTATATACTTTAGGTATTTCTAGCTAGTTAGATTTTTTTTTTCTATTTTTTACTCTCTAATTACTTTATAATAGTAAGTATTAGCTCTTTTTACTTATTATTTTTAAAATTTTAAAAAAGTCTAAAGTAACTTATTATAGCCTATTTTAAAGTATAATAAGGTAGTTTAGTTTAAATTAAAGATTTCTAGTATAAATTATACTAAATTACTACTAACTAGTCTTTAGTACTTTAACTAAGACTATTAACGTATACTTTATACTAATTTACTTTTTTTCTACTTATATCTACTTCTTATACTTTATATTACTTTATTTTAAGCTTTAATAGCTTTTTTTACTTTAACTTAACTATAGTTAGTAATAATTAAATTACTATAAGCTACTTTTACGTACTTAGACTTTTTAAGATTAGTTATATACTATATACTAGTTACTTATAGTTATAAAAGCTTAATAAGCTTTATATATTTAACTACTATAGCTATACTTTCTTAGTTTTTAAGACTAAGAAAAAGTATACTATTTTTACTAGTATAATTAAAAAGGTTACTAGCGTACTATCTAAAGATACTATTACCTAAACTATTTTATATAGCTAGTATTAGGCTATAAATAAGTAGTACTTTACTATAAGTACTTATTTTACTCTTTTTTAGCTACTATTACTCTTTATTAGCTTTTATAAAGCTAATATATAGTAAATAGCTTTAGAATAAATAGTTTTAGTCTATTTTAGCTTATTTTAGACCTTTTTATACTAATACTAACTAATATAGTCTTTAGAGAATTTTATTAACTTAAAAACTATATATAAAATTATCTACTAATTATTAGTTAACTAGAAGCTCTTTAGTAAAAAGCTTATTATTTTATATTCTTAAGCCTCTAATAATACTTTAGCGCCTACTCTACTAGCTATAGAAAACTTTAAGTATAGTAACTTATACTACCTAAAGATAGACTTAGTAGAAGAGTATAAGAGTATCTATAATAATATTATTAAGTAAGTTTTAACTTATATTAGCTTATTTTAGCCTAATCTAGTATTTTATAAGTCTTTCTATTCTCTTTAGAGTTAGTAAAGTCTTTATAGAGCTTAAAAAAGCTAGATTAGTTTATAATAGCTTATTCTAGACTATTTTAACTAACTTTAGTAGTAACTACTTTTCTAATTAGAAGTACTTATAATTTTATTCTAGTATACTTTATAGCTATACTACTACTAAGTCTAGCGCGCGCTTTAATAATAAGACTAAAACTAAGACTATAGTTACTAGCTTTACTAATAGTACTTTTTATATATTTAAGAAAAGAGCTAATAAAGTTACTAGTACGCTTAACGCTAAATTACTATTTAAGTAATTAGTAAGTTCTAAAATACTTTCTTCTAAACTTTTATAGCTCTAATTAGCTCTTTATAGATTACTAGTAGCTACTTTACCTTTATTTACTCTTTTTTAGCTTTTTATAGCTTATTTTAGCTTATACTAACTTTTTTTATAGTATTTTACTTTAAAGCCTACTAAGTAGACTATTATTTTTATAGTTAAAGATTTATAAAATACTATTTAAAAACTTTAAATAGAGCTTACTTTTTAGCTAAAAAGTAATAAAGCTACTACTAAAAAGAGCTAGCTTAAGAAGTAGATTAAAACTAAAAAAGATAAGATTAAGTATTTTAGAGCTAGTATTTTCTAAGTTACTCTTAGATAACTTCTAATAGTCTCTTATAGCTTATTTTAGCCTATTCTAAAGTAATATAAGCTCTTCTAGTATATTTAGGTAGAGTTTAATAGAGTTTATATAAAATTAGTTTAGACTAAGTAGTACTAGCCTACTTTAAGCTATTATAAGCTATTATAGTATAGTTAGAAGCTTTTAAGTAATACTTAGGTTAGAATTTCTCTATAAATATAAAAGTTCTTTATAGTAGTTAAAGTTATTTATTTATATAAATTTACCTAAAGTATAATATCTTATTCTTTAAAACTAATTATAAAATCTAAAAAACTAATAACTTTACGCTAGAAAGAGTTAAAGTAAGATAGCCTATACTAGGCTCTTTTAGACTATTAGAGGCTATTTTAGTCTAAAATACTATTAAATACTCTAAAAAACTCTATATAAAGAAAAAAAGTAAAGATATACTTTAGTTTATACTAAAATAGTTTATTATAGCTTAACTTAACTTATTCTTTCTCTTTATAAAGCTATTTATAGTATTACTTTTTAGGCTAAGCTTTTAAAAATTTTCTATACTATTATATTCTTTTCTTATTCTAGAACTTCTATAGCGTATTAGCTAAAATATTTAGACTTAGTTTTTATAAGTTTTCTTTCTTTAAGTACTTAACCTATTTAATTAGATACTTCTATTAGTTATTCTTATTATACTATTTTTTAATAATATATTCTACTTTATATATATTATTACTAAATTCTCTTAAAGTATTTTACTTAGGCGCTTTAAAGTATAAAATAGTACTTTTTAAATTAAAAGACTCTAAAAGTAATATATAGAATACTAGATAGATACTATTAAGTTCTAGAAAATTAATTTAAAAAGCTAAGAGGCTAATTTAGTCTATAATTTTTCTAAGTCTAAAAAACTTCTAATTTAGCTTTTTCTTTAAGTAAGTACTTCTAATATATTAGTTAGAGACTAGAACTTAGTTCTTTACTTTAAAGAGTATTAGCGCGTAGTACTTATTAATATACTCTTTCTAGTAAGTATTTACTACTTTAATCTTTTTATAGCACTCTTACTATAGTTTAATTACTTATTTAGTAAAGCTAGTCTTTATAAAGCTTTCTCTTTTACTAAGAGCTAAATTAAGCTAATTTACTTTATAAAAGTACCTTCTATAGTAAGTTTAGAAAAGAGTAACTCTAGTAGTAGAGTAGATACTATTATTATATATAAACTTTTTAATAGATATCTAGTACGCCTAATTATTCTATTCTAAAGAGTAATAGTAGTAAAGATACTACTCTAAGATTTAGTTTTACTTTTTAGTCTAGCTATTAGTCTAAGAATAGAAAGTAGAAGTAAGAACTTTTCTAGTATTAAAGTAGTAAAGAAAAGAATTCTAATACTTAGAGTTTATTAAAAAGTCTTAATCTAAAATAATATACTTTAGTACGCTATAAAGTTAGATAACTTTATATATCTAAGCTTATACTAGATTAGTACTATTCTAATTAGCTTATACTAGCACGTAATAGACTATTTTAGTTAATTTATTTATAATAACTAGTATAGTGTTATACTTTATACTAGAAACTATACTAAGTAGTAGTTCTATAATAAAGTCTATTATTACCTTTTTCTAAAAGTAGTTAAGTATTAGAAAAAACTATAGTAGGCTATAAAGTCTATACTTTATAGAAGTAGACTTTCTATATATAAAGTAATTCTTATAGTATTACTTTATATTTTTATATATACTCTTCTAAAAGTAGCGCCTTTATAGTTTCTTTAGAGTATATTTTACTTTAAAGTAGTCTACTAGAAAGTTATTATAATATTCTTAAAAGACTTATAACTTCTTTTTAGTAGTTACTAGTATTCTTACTATATAATAGCACGTTTTAGCTCTATCTAGACTAGACTAGTTACTTTTAGACTTAGACTTATCTAAAGTACTTAAAAAGGTATAATTTATCTTATTATACTTCTCTAGAGTCTAGAGCTCTAGTATAGTATATTTACTAGCCTAGTTAAAGCTCTCTAGACCTTTAGTAAGATTTTATTATTTCTTAGTATACTTAGTAAAGTATATCTATACTATAGCTACTAAAAGAAAAGTTCTATTACTATTAGTTATAAAATCTCTTATAAGCTAGATAAAAGCTTTATTATACTTTTAAGTAGGTTTCTAAGCTTTTACTATATAGTTAAAGTAGTAAAAAAGCCTATTTATAAAGTTAGTAAACTCTACTTTATAGTAGATATTAAAATTAAACCTAAATAGTATAATATAAAACCTAACTTATTAATAGTTAAGAGTCTTAGTCTTTATAAACTATTTTAAGTTCTAATAGTTAGTCTAGAGATTAAAGTATATACTCTCTAGGTATTAGCGCTAATACTCTAA